CCCCCCAATGCCATACCAGGCCACCCACGGCAATGGGAGGTTGCAGACCTCTCTCCCCGCTTCTTCTGTGACTACGGCTATGCCGCTCGGCTGCTGTGTACGGGCTTTTGTGAACTGCTCGTACAGCAGCCCTTTGGTTCGACTGTATCAAAAGGCTCCGGTGGCCGAAGTGAGCCGAAGGATGAGCCGAAGCTACGGCTAGATCCTACGGCTCCTTCGTGAATAACCGTCTAAGTCATCTCATTCCCTAGGTAAAGCTGTGCTAACTTCATCCGATCATGTGCAAGCAAAAATCCTGTTTTTTAAAATTTATTTTGCTGATTATTGGGTATACTTTGCAAAGTGAATTTTCACTTTGTTTCCCCTCATTCACTAAGCTAGATAAAAATTAACTTTGAAAAGTGAATATAGTACCCTACATTAGTAAATCAACTCTATTGTGTCACGGTCAGGGGAATGGGGCACTGGGATACATGAGCTCCGGGTCTTGTGGAGTGGGTTAGGGTCGCTGTCTGGGGTGACTTCAGGAATGCTGGTCACAGGAAGCCAGTCAATATTTATTATGAAGAAAACGTGACATTATAGAAGACTTGTGCTGGCTTCTGTGCATACTGTGGACATGTAACTAGAGATCAAATTGCTGATGCTCAGGTTAGTCAGTTTATCTACTTACAGTGGATAAAGGAATCCTTGTTTGGGCTGGGCAGATCTCCTAGTTGGCTACAACAGCGGAACATCCTTGTAACTGCCTCTGTGATTATTTTGATACTACTCACTTTTGTCACACTTAGCTGGACTCCTGGTTAGTCACACAACCATTCCTTTTCTAATGAAAAAGGTAACATTATGGGGTATAGTTATAAACTGTTCACAGAGGGAACAGCTCTGTGAATGAGATTAATAGCACTTTATGGCCACTAGATGGCGTATAGGTATTGGTGTTTGCAGTGCAAACAGTTTATCAATAGACCCCCACATGTTCAGTTAGAGAGATTTAAAGTATTTTGTAGCCCACACCTTTCACAACCCATACAAACTGCTGATGTACCTAGTGACACCTGAATTGAAATGGCCATGGAAAAAGCAGCATGTTTTATCACCCCTATCACTATAGTACCCTGTAAGCTAAGTGGTTCTTATTTCCCCACCATTCACCAAAATATGTTTACTTTGAAAAGCCAAAAAAAAACCGAAAAACAACTACGCTTACATATTTAAAGCCACCTTAAACATGTAACAAGATGTATGCGGTCTATCTGTTATCTGACAACGTTTATTTCAGTTGAGGTTTCACAATTTTTTAATTTCTCTATAGTCCCGTACCCCACAAGTTCTAATTTGTGACTAATTTGGGAAATGCTTTAGGATGCTTTTTCTGTCAGTATAAAATGCTACTTCCTGCCCTCACATTCCAATTGCCTGTACTAGCAGAGCTGAGTAAAAGCCACAGCCCTCAGCCAGGGGCGTAACTAGAAATCATGAGGCCCCATAGCAACATTTTGTATGGGGCCCTGTGATTTCTAGTTAAGCCAACCTGATAACCCAAACAGCCCACCTGAGGGTGACCCTGTAAAGCCCACCGTAGACTCTCTATGGTGGGCTCTGCAGGGTCTCAGGTCTGCTCCTTCTCCTCTGTCCGCCTCCTTCTCCTCCGCAATTGCTTGCTGGCCCCGCCTCCTCCATAACTGGGCCCTGCCTCCTCCATCACAGGGCCCCGCCTTTCCCAGCCGCTGCACATGTGAATAGCAGCGCGTTCCTCCTCGCAGCCGCCAGGGACAGCCAGCACAGCATCAGGGGAATTTCCTGGCCGGGCCCCCCTGTGCCCCAGGGCCCCATAGCGGCCGCCTGGGTTGCGCGGGACCTCAGGCAGTTGCTTGTTTAAAATTTTAGTGCCGGTGTTCTGTCGAGCATTTATTTACAAAGTATTCATTTGTAATGGTCAATTGTCACTGTTAATAATATACCGTCCATGTAAATGGTGTAAATAATATACCGTCCAGTAAATGGTGGGTGGCAGTAAATGTTGGATGGAATATTATTAACGGTCACAATTAAAAATTTTAACAGGTTTCCTCGATAATACTGGTCTGTGCGCAAGCGCAAATGCTGAGGTCGGCAAATTCGACGACGTCTGCGTTCTCAACAGAACACTGGTATCTGTGTTTAGTATCGGGGCATTTTCACGAGTATGAGTACTCGTGAAAATGCTCAGTACTGGCACTGACTGGTGCATCCCTCCCTACTTAAAAATATAATGCATTGCTGGGACTTGTAGTCCTACATAGTTGGTGCTACAGTATTTTGCATTACTGTATAATCATCATACACCAATGCAGAATACCACCAGCTATGCGGGACTGCAAGTCCCAGCAATACATTATATTAAAAGTCAGCTATGCAGAATACCACCAGCACCCCCCCACACACACACTATAATGCATTGCTGGGACTTGTAGTCCTACATAGTTGGAGCTATTCTGCATTACTGTATAATCATCATACATCAATGTAGAATACCACCAGCTATGCAGAACTACAAGTCCCAGCAATACATTATAATAGATGTCAGCACTACAGAATCCCACTACACCAGCATCTTCCCCCTCTCTTCCACACACTTTCCCACGCCCCCCTCCAGACTTACCTTCCATCTCCTGCAGGGCCCTCTTCCTCATCTCGGCGGCCAGGGGGCGGGGCTAAGAGGTGAGGGTCCTCACAGCTGAATGTGCTGCCTTGCGGTGCCTGCAGCACATTCTGCGGGACCAGTGACAGCCTCTCCCTCCCTTCTGCACAGCCGCCCGTACATGCTGCGGGTGGCAGCGCGGCAGGGAAGGAGCGGCACGATCTGGGGGGGCCCTCTTCGTCCTTGCTGCCCCCCCAAAGTGGCGAAACGCCAGGGCCCGGTCGCAATTGCGACCGATGCGACCCTGGTAGTTCCGCCTGTGCCCTCAGCACAAGTTTTCTTACACAGACTTGTATTGCAGAGGGTCTTTTTTATGGTGTCTGTTCTACTCCACAGTAGACACCCTGCACAACTGCTGTAACAAGACAATGGACGTTGTTAGTGCAATGTCTCTCTGATATATTTCTGTGACTTCAGCTGGGCTTTAAGACTGATAAAAGAACCTTGATAAGACCATACTCAATGGTTCATTCATCAAACCTTTGCAATAGGGTCTTTAAGTAAACATGTACAGTACATGACCTGACTGTGTGTTAAGATCAGCTTCAGATTAGATCTTCTCAAGTGGAAACTATATTAGTTTTAGGTAAAGCCCAACTCTGGATTTAGACCCAAATTATCTAGTTAGTTAAATCAATGTTCTGGCAATTAGTAGTACTCTGATGTGATTATTTTTCCTCCATGCATGGTCAGGTTTATGCATAATTGCTTCTAAAGTAAAGTTGTGGTTCTGTCTATCCAGTCCTGAGATTTACACATCTCTGCCCCAAGTACAGCCCTGCCTGACAGGGAAGGGGGTCTGATCCTTCTCTGCTGCAGTTTTACTTACAGGTCTTCTACCCACCCCCACCTTGGAACTGGACAGTGAAAGGAGAAGCAACGCACTTATGAGCTCA